TATTTTTCTCTCATAAGAGGAAGCTAGAGAAGAAAAAGGAAAAGAAAGGTGGGAGCGAATCTCATGAAAATCAAAGGAATCGGGGGTGGGATGCTGGAAAGGAGGGGCAATCTCTGGGGAGTGAAATGGGCCAAATTATATTGTTATATTGTGTGCATGTATGAATATGTAACAACAAGTCCCATCATTATGTACAACTATATTGCACCAATAAAAAAAATGTGGGAGAGTGGGGTTGTAACTCAGTGGTACAGCACTTGCCTAGCACCTGTGAGGCACTGGGTTCAAGCTTTAGCACCACATAAAAATAAATAAAATAAAGGTATTGTGTCCATCTACAATTAAAAAAATATATATATATATTTTTTAAATGTGGTAAAAAAGATTTTAAAAAGACTCTCTTTCCAAATAAAGTCACATTCTGAGGTACTAGGCAGCTTACACATATAAATTTTGGAGGGACACAACTCAACCAATAACAGTGTCCAAATCCAGTTTCCACCTTTCTATCAGGATCCACACACACAACAGAGTTTACCTTTTAAAGATTTTGACTCCTTTGCAAGCTCCTTGAAGGCGGGAACTCAGTCATTGTTCCCTCCTATTTCTTGAGTCACTCGGGCCAGCCTAGCACCTGGAAGATACTTCATCAATGTTAGATTGAATTTGCTTCTGTCCAAGAAAATTCAGGGCAAAGAATTATGCTGTTTAACCCAGGAAACTAAGAAAGGTTCATAGCCTGCAGCAATCCCTGAAACTCTCTGAGTCAAAGAAAATTATGTTTCCATGACACAGAATCTGACTCTGGATTTCTTAATTAGGGGTATTTGCATGATGAGAGGAGACCTGTTTTCTGAATAGTCATTGCTCTCCTTGCAAATGAATGGCTGCTGCTTCTGACATAAGAATTATCTCTACACTGACTACATGAGTCATATAGAGAGGATTTGGCTCTCAGGAGGGGAAAGAAAAGCCAGAAAGAGGGAGAGTATCTTTAGATAGAGACCGCTGTCCAGGATGCACAGGAGAGAAGGAGGGCCCATGGCTCAGCCTCTGGTTGCCAAGTGCAACAGAAACATGAAAGCTTTCTACCATGTCTCCCCATCTTTGAGATACACCAATACTTACCTTCTCATTACTCAATAAAGGAACTCAAAGTCCAGTGCCTATTTGACTCTTTGCCTGCATGGAAGTCCCTGGATCAAATGTGGGAAGCCCAACACCCAACAACCCAGAGACAAGTCACCCTTGAATGTGAGAGGTGTGGACCAGCACCACCATCCAGCCTGACATTCAATCACATATTGAAGTCTGTGTGCTGGCATTGTCCCCAAGAGACTGTAGATACGTTATCTCAATGTAGCTATCATTGTTGTGTGAATGGAGACGTCTGTAGACTTGCTTCCCATGTCATCTTCTAAAAAAAACTACACCTGTTGAAAGAAGATGTCAACAAAGGCTTTGTCAGAGTGGGCAGCACTCTTGAGAATTATTTCTTTAAGAACTGAGAATGAGGAGTCAGTCTCATGGTTAAGCAGGAAAAGGTTCCTATTCTTCTTTTGTACCAACTGCACCTGCATTAGGTATATAGTGCTCCAGACAGGGCACCAAGCAAAACCTTAAGGGTGACTTTTGGAAGATGACCCTTGAATCTGATGCACATCAACCAGAGATGCAGACAACAGTGAAGAAGAGGATCTTTTCCTCACTTTTCTAGCAGCTGTGAAGAGGTGACTGAAGAACTTCCAAGAATCTGGAAAACAGTTAAAAACAATTCAGGACTTTTAGTGGTGTCTTT